ATAGCGGTACACTCTCAGGAGAGTCCATACTCTCTCAGCAGATGGAGCAGATGGAACACTATATACATATACCATATACACTGAAGAAAAAGCAGCGATGTTAAAGGGACTTTATAAGTAAAAAGCTGCAGGTCCGGACGGGATCCATCCTGCAATACTATCCGCTCTAGCTGACGTCTTGGCACCTCACTTCATCAACCTATTTACAGATCATTAAAAACAGGTAAAATACCCGAGGACTAGCGAATAGCGGAGGTGGTATCAGTCCCTAAAGGCAGTAGTCGGGACAACGTAGAGAATTATCGACCCATAAGACTCCTCCCGTTGGTGCTTAAAGTCACGGAGAAATCCATAAGAAAAGCACTAGCAAACCACTTAGTCACACAGCACCTCGGACAACTCTCCCAACACGGTTTTGTTGGTGGTAAGTCATATCTCAGCTGTCCAACCTCGATGATGCGACTGCACGACTTGACAGGGGTGATGCAAGAGAAATTTTCTACTTGGATTTCCGGAAAGCCTTTGATTCCGTAAATCACCGCCTACTGCTTACCAAACTCAAGGCTCTTAACGTGTCGCCAACAGTGTTGCGATGGCATCGGAAGTTTTACGTCAGAGTGGAGGGTGAGTGCTCCCGCCTAGCCTATGCCTGCAGCGGAGTACCACAAGGTTCAGTCTTGGGGCTGTTACTATTCATCATTTTTGTAAACGATTTAACTGTCAGGCATAAGTCTCCTGTTCGCCGATGACGCTAAGATAATCGGAAACCCATACGAGGAGACTGTACAAGCTGACCTAAATGCTCTCCAGCAGTGGCCTGAAACCTGGGGCTTACCTCTAAATATAGGAAAGTGCAAGAAACTACAGACTGGGGACCACCTGCACCCAAAACCATCAACCAGGAAAATCCTCAGATCATAGAAAGGGTTACGGAAATAAGGGACTTAGGCGTGAACATTCACGAGTCATTTAACTCATCTGCCCAATGTGTTATTGCAGCGAGCAAAGCACAGAGGGCTATCTATCAGTTACGCAGGACAATAGATTCCAGAGCTCCCCAAGTTCTCATACCCCTATACAAGGCAATAGTCAGGCCGCACCTTGAGTATGCCGTGCAAGCCTGGGTTCCAGCCCTGAAAAGAGATCAGAAACTTTTGGAGAATATTCAACAAAAGTTCACAAAGACCATTGCGGGCTTGAGGGACATTCCATACGAAGAGAAACTAAGGACCTTGGGACATTTTTCCCTCCATCGAAGGCGCCTAAGGGGCAATCTCATCGAAGTATTCAAACAGATGAAAAGACTGTCCAATACATCTTCACCCCCCTTCACGCTGGAAGAGAGCTCTACAACAAGAGGGCATAGCCTCAGGCTGAAGAAACCCAGGGAACTTAAAAGCGTTAGGGTAAATATTTCTCCTATAGAATCATTAGCCGATGGAACAAGCTGCCAGGGCATGTTGTTTCATCACCAACAGTAGCCCAATTCAAGACCGGTTAAGATAAGGTGTGGCCATCACTATTCCCTAACTTTATCTAGGACCACCTTACTCTCATTGTCTTATTTTGTAACCCCAACTATTCCACACTCCCACGACTACTGTCTTATCCCCCATAAAACTACTTCCACCCTAGCGTTAAGACATGAATGCTATACAAACCATTTTTCACCTTGCAGAAGTAAATTTGTATTCGTAAAGCTTCCGGAGGTAGTCATCAACTAAGAAGATTGGACAAAGATTCTGTCCTCCTCTCGCTCATTTCGCGCTCGATTATCCATTTTGCCGCTATAAATCTCGGCGTCAACAGCGTGGATACAGATTGTTGTGCAGCTGTGCTGCTGTGAGCATGAATGAGAGTATGTCTGGAAGCCGATAATGCACAAAGACCAACTTGGAGACCAGTGTACCACGTCGTAGTGCTAAGCATAAATGCGTGTTTTTGTGTATACACTTGTGTGTACCTGAAAAGGCCTGAATGTCCCCGGTGGATAGAGAGTAGACGGCTAAGTTGTGCAGCAACCAAAACATCACCATTATACAGAACAGGGGGCAACGGACCCAGGCGGAAACATGCCCAGGGTCAGTACTTGAGTGCAGGAAGACTAGATAACTAGAAGTATGGCACCAGGGAGGATGAAAGAGGCTCTTTGTACGTTTACACGTTTTCAACATTCTCACTTGTTTCTCTGCACTAGCGACTATTCTTCGTTTCTCTTCCTTCTCGGTTTTTATCAAGGAACCCTACAGCCTTGTCAACCAATTTATACGGGACGATCCAAAAGGAACCATTACACCCCCAACCGAGAGAGATAGGCGGCAAAGACTCCGAGCCTCGGTACAGCAAGACGAACCCCAAATCAGACGGCTAGCAGGAGTAAATGGTGGTGCTCAGTCGCAAAACAGCCTTGCGAACACGGACGTTTTTAAGCTAACTGGTGTTGACGGCCTGCCGGTAAGTCTTCTTGCAAGTCTCAAAGTGCGCGCGACCTCCTAGTGTCTCGTTGCCCAAGGTAGACAACACTCGTGGGAGTCGTAAATCTTTATTGACGAATCGTGGTACTAGACAGTACCGAAACGTGCCGAGGTGACGCTAAACAGTGCAAGCAATAAATGCAGTAGCAAAGCGAAAGCGTGTCACACGTGTTGCGTGGGTTTGAACAGGACCCAGCTTATA